CCCTCCACTAGCGACTTGGACGTTAATTCACAATTGAAGTAGCAGGAGAGTAGTGTTAAGTAGCAGGAGAATGAATCTGGAAGAGTTAAGCTCTTTCTGGGAACAAGTGAAGCTCCCATTCCTCTCTAGGGGGGTCTGGGGGCATGCAGGAAATTTTGAATTTTTAAACCCTCTGAGATGCCATTTCCTGTTATCTGACAGCAAATTTCATTCCTCTAGCTATCAGAACATTGTTTTACAATGTTTCCAAAATGTTTGGTTATTTGAATTAGCAAACAAATGAAGTTAAATCAAGAGCTCTAACCCTGTTACTTTATTGAAATTATGTTTAGCCATTTCATAGGTTGTAAGATCTTACCAAATATAATAATGTGTGATCAAAGTGTGGAAATAACCAAGTCCTCAAGAGAGAAACACACCAGCTGCCAATCCTAGATGACTGAATGCCAGGCCTGGCGTGAACGAAGATATTCTTGACTGTTGACCTGACTGCAGGTTACTGGCATTGCGTCCTTGATCATGAATCAAGTCTACTCACTACCTTCGCAACCCCTTTCAGCAGGTATAGAGGGAGAAGACTTCCATTTGGTTTGTCAGCATTCAGCCAAATTTTTCAGAAGTGAGTTAGCCAACCTACAGAGAGCTTAACCTTAGAGAACCTACACCTAGCTGACACCCCTTCCAGAGCATACCTGTCGACCACCACCCACCCTACTGGAGCTGAATTTGAACACATCAACACAACAGCATTTCTCCCCGAGCCCACTTTGAGACTTCAAGAGATCCAACAGGCTACTGAGAGTGACGAAGCATTGCGAATCCTCAAGAACGTCATTCTGCACGGATGCCCAGAACACCGCGATCAAAGGCCATCACACATAACAACACCTAACCAACAGCTTATGGCATGGCATGAAGCAAAAGCTGCATGCGTCACACCCGGTGCTCAATCCTGTCTACGACAAGCACAGGAAACTATCTTTTGGCCCGGTATGAATGCTGAAGTGAAGGAGATAATCACGTCCTGTGAAAACTGTCGCAAATACCAAACCAACATCAACCAGAAGGAGTCTCTGATGCCACATGACGTGCCCAGCCAACCATGGGAACAAATACGAGTTGACCTGTTCAAGCTAAACAAGAAAGAATTTATGGTAACTGTGGATTACTGTAGCAACTTTTGGGAGGACAACTGCCTGACAAGTACTACCTCAGTAGCCATAATCCTGAAACTCAAAAACTTTTTTGCACAGTGTGGTTGCGCTGACTGCCTGATCAGTCACAATGGCCCGCAGTTCACCTCATCAGAGTTCACCAAGTTCGCTAAAGAATGGGACTTCGAACACAGAACCAACAACCCAGACAACAGTAAAGCAAACGGGAAAGTGGAATCAGCAGTGAAAACAGCAAAGAACCTTATCCGGAAAGCCCTGGATTCCAGAACGAACCCGTACATTGCTATTCTCAACTATTCCAACACGGCGAACCAAGGAATGGAACGGCGAGTCAAGCCCTGTTAAAAGCTTAATAAACAGGAGAACATGGACACTCCTTCCCACGACGAAAGCCCTCCCACCACAAACAGACGGAGAAATAACCAAATACTACAACTAACACACTCATGACTTGCCCACCCTTGCAGAAGGAGATGTCGTACAAATGAAACCCTTTTAACTAGGAACTAAGGTGTGGAAGAAAGGCATAGTCACATCACGGCTAGACGAGACATCCTATGTAGTGGAAACGCCTGACAAAGAGATATACTGAAGGAACTGCTAGCACCTAAGGAAAACCAAAGAGAGTCCTGCATGACGCCCCAAAGTTACCAGATATAACACCTGTTATGTACAGTAACCTGGGTAGCCTCTGTACTAGGGTGCACTCTAGCCTTGTTATCATGTATATATAAGGTAGATTGACTTTCAAAATAAATGGTTGTTTTGTTCCTGTGGTACGTTGCTGTCCACTTGTTGAAACATGGTGTCAGAAGTGATTCTACGGACCCAATAAGAATGCCTACAACAGAAGGATCAGCGGAAGAAGGACAGCTGAGTGGCAGCAGAGAAGATAGAATAACTCAGCTTAAACTGCCAGGGCCACTTGATTTCGAAGCTATAGACTTGGCTGACAGTTGGAAGAGATGGAAGCAAGAAGTAGAGTTGTACATGGATCTAGCAATGCGTGGTAGAGAGGATTCAAGAAGGTGAAGCTGTTTTTGTATTTAGTTGGGAGTCAGGGACAAGAAATTTACTGTACGATGAAATTTGAAGTACCCCAACACAAACGAAATTTGAAGCAGGTCATGGATGCATTCAGATAGCACTGTAATCTGAAGACAAACGAAACTGTTGAGAGGTAAAAGTAATACTCAGTGTCCATGCTGCAAGTGATCATGAATATGTGAGGAAGCTGTTTGCTACAATAAGCCTTGCAAATTTGATGGTGAAGTTTCAGCTGGATAATGGAGCAACTTGTACCCTGCTACCCGCAAAGTACTTTGAGGATAGGAATGAACTAACTGTGACCAGGAAATGGCTCACAATGTGCAATGATACAATGATATAGCCTTTGGGTACATGCACGATGGAGGTACTCAACCCCAAAAACTCCAAGTCTTACAATGTGGAGTTTGTAGTTGTCGACAGTGACAGGGCCTGGTACCAATCCTGGGAAACCAAACCATGCAGCATATGAACCTGATTAGAGTGCAACAACACAATGTGATGTCAGTTCACCACTGAACAACTCTTAAAGGATTAAGCTAGCCCGATGTCTTCGAGGGCACTGGAAAGTTGGAGGGTCAGTACAAGCTTGAAGTCGAAGACGTTGCTACGCCAGTGGTTCATGCGCCAAGGAGAGTTCCTGTAGTGCTCAAGGGTAAACTGAAGGAAGAACTGGAGCGTCTTCAGAGCCTTGGTAACCCCATGGGTTTCAAGTCTTGTACGTAACTGTACAAAAACCTAATGGACAAATTTGAGTATGCATTGACCCCAAAGACCTGAATCGAGTGTTAAGGAGAAGCCACAACCCAACCCCGACCATAGACCAGGTACTTCCAGAGCTTTCAAGGGCAAAAGTGTTCTCAACCGTAGATGCTAAGAATGGATTCTGGCATGTTGAACTTGACAATGACAGCTCATGTCTTACAACTTCCAATTCACCCTTTCGACGATTTTGTTGCCGTTGTCTTCCCTTTGGGCTTTGCACTGCTCCAGAGGAGTTTCAGCGGAGACTGAACCACACCCTAGGGGGCTTAAAGGGCGTCCGCACCATTCACGATGACATCCTGGTTTTTGGTGAAGGCTCCACAGAAGATGAAGCGCTAGTAGATCATGATTGAAATCTGCGCTCGCTAATGCAGAGGTACCGTGAGCAGAATATCAAGCTGAACAAGGTCAGGAAGAAGTTCCTTTCTTGGGTCATCTGATCTCGAAAGACGGTCTTACAGCAGATCCAGCAAAGATCAAGGTTGTCTTGGTGATGCCAAGATGCCAACCCCAACAGATGTGGCCAGTGTACAAAGGTTCATTGGATTCAGAAATTACCTGAGCGAGTTTCTACCACTGATGTGAGCCCCACTGGAAACTCACACTCCCTGACGTAGAATGGTCCTGGACCAACCTTCATGACAGTGCAGTCCAACAAGTGAAACAGCTGGTTACCAATGCTCCAGTTCTCAAATATTTTGATACGACAAAGGGCGTCACCCTGCAGTGCGACACGTCAGACAAGGGGCTTGGAGCAGTCCTACTACAAGACGGCAACCCCATTGCGCATGCAAGCCACGTGCTGACGGATCCCAAAACTCACTATGCGCGGATCGAGAAAGAGCTCCTTGCAGTTGGTTATGGACTGGAGAAATTCCACACCTTCAAGTAACTGTGGAATCGGATCAGAAACCATTGGAAGTGATCGTTCCGAAACCACTCCACCTAGCACTAATGAGGCTCCAGCGCATGCTCCTAGGAGTTCAAGCTTACTTGATCAACCTTGGCCATAGGAAGGGGTCCACCATGTACCTTGGTGACACACTGAGCCAGGCATATCTTCCCTACGACGGTAGTCAATTGCTTCAGACGTCGAGAGCATCAACATGATGCAGGATGCGTGCCTAAAACCATCTACTCTCCAGGAAATCAAACAGCATACAGCAAAGGACGACAGCCTTCAAGAACTAATCAAGGTTATCAAGGCAGGCTGGCCCAAGACAAAAGAGGAACTTTCTCATCTCGTATTACCGTACTTTGGAATACGTGACGAACTGAGTGGTGACAATGATGTGGTTGTCAGGGAAGAGAGATTAGTTAGTGGTATCCATGTTATGTATAGTAGTCTAGGTAGCCTCGGTACTAGGCTGCATGCTAGCCTTGTCATCATGCATAATTATATAAGGTAGAATGACTTTCAAAATAAACGGTAATCCCTGTCTCCCCATGCCCAATATATAAATGGTGCAGGACGACTATAACAGTAGTCACAGCTCGAGAGTGCTTTATTCAGCTGAACATTCAAGTGCAACGCGATACAAGCCTATGTTAGCGCTGATTGAATATAGATTGACATATTGTTTAGTTGAAAGAAAATTCTATAATTCCAGTAGTTTTCTAGGATTTTACGGTACCTTGCAAACCCGTTATGAGTCATCTTCAACAATTCACATACGAATCATTATTTAATCTAAATGAAAACCATCGCATGTATCATCGAAAAAAGAAACAATTGCATTCCCATACAGCTGCTTTGTGATAGAGTCTAATCTTTTAACGCTCTCATTCTCTTATACTGAATGGCCTTGGTCTCTATCTGCCAGTACTCTTCGAATTTGGCCCACAGAAGGGACAGTGGGTTTAACTTTAAAACTGTACAGCATAAAGAAGTCATACAAATACCAGTCACCTTCACCTTTTTTCTCTGGTCTTGCTGCCTTGGCTGGTGGTGTCTTGGTACCTGTTTCGTGAGAAACTACTAGAGTCAGTACAACACATGAACAAACTGTCATCACCATTACTGGATGCACTAACTTTTGAAATATAGGATCAATAGAACAGTGGAAATGTTTTGGAACTTTAATGATCTAAGTGTCTTCCCCTGTTACCAGGACTCAGGTGCATTGTATCGATCTAACTCTTGTTGAGTTCAGTTTTGCATGATATGGCAAATATAGCATTCATAAGAATTTTGTATGTGTAGCAATCAATCACAGTCACCTCCGCTCATTTGTTTCCTCACTGTAGCTTGAGTGGTACCCTTCTTGCTAACAGTCGTCCAACCTGTAGCTGGAACAAAAGAACTACAATACTACCAGACATGATAACTAATGAAGAACATCAGCAGCACAGTGAAATTCTACTTTGGGTAGGTGAGCACAGAAACCATCATCATCATCATCAACTTTATTTCTATTGGGATTTTTTAAAATAGCACTGTTGTGCTAGTATCTCCGAAAACACTTAATAATTAACTAGAAAAACTAAGTATTTTAAATGGATTTATATAAAAACTAATTTACCGTGATCGTCTATTGTTCTTAAATTGTTTGAGTTTGTGTTTAAACATAGAAAGGGTATCAGCCTTCTGAGTAGTGTCCGGTAATTTGTTCGATGCATTAGAGGCGAGATAGCGGAAAGAGTGAGGACCAAATGTTGTTGTCCTAACAGCAGGTGGCTTCAGTTTGGCATAACCTCTTAAAATATAGGAACCGGCCTCACGCACCTGTAGATAAGTTCATAAAATCGACGGTGCGGCCATCAGAGTAGAATGCCCAGAAACCAAAATTATTTGTAATTAAGGTGTCTCGATACAGTTTTTTGGACCATACCAAGCGTTTTCCTTTCATCAGATGGCTATAAAAATTACACCAGTCGTTGGAAATAGATATTGAAGTTTTGTAAAATGTACTTTTCTTAAGGCATTTGATGTTTCCATGTAAACAATAAACAAAATGAATGAAAATCGATAAAAGATGAATTTTGCACGAACCAGAGCAATGTGATATAAAAGACCTTAATCACCAATGTCTTAAACTATGGAGCACGACAAGTGGAATAATTATGCAAGATTAAAGAAATTCTGAGCATTTTTGATTTCATGTAAATCAAAAAGTCATTTCAAATCATTCTTTTTTGTATAAATAGTACATGGAGTCAGAGGGACACTCACAGTGTGCAAGCCTGCAAGTAACAGTCGGTCATCGGACAATTGTCCGGTAAATTTGGGGTTTTGACGGGTAAAAGCTTAGTCTAGTCGGACACTCTGACCGGCCGGGCATTTCTGCTAAATGAAAAATATTTTAACTAGAAATTTGTGACTTATTTTGTTATACTGCCACACAATACTACGCAAAAATGTTTTGTTATCAGTTTTGTTTTTATTCCATTTCTGAGAAATAATTCTATCACGCACAATGTGTCGTCTCAAATGTCATGTCGATTATTCAAGTTACATGTTAATCTATGCATTTTGCCGTGTGTCGTGAAAGATCGTGAAGCCCCATTTAGTCCGCATTATGTTCGTCTGAAAAACTACAAAAATCTGAGTTCTTATGTCGTTCCTCGTAGTTTAATATCTGCAAGTGTTGTGGAATTAATTTTGAGTCGTAATTTGACCCGATTGAAATATTATGCAAATTGGATACACAGCCCAAATTCTCATGTTTCGTTTATCGGAATGCAATTGCTTTCAAAAACTTTAAAATCTCTAAAACGTAACCAAATGTTTTTCTAATCCGTATCATCAAAAATCAGTTTTATAGCTCTTTATAGGTTTTTATACTTCTGTGGTTCAATATACTTTGAATTAGTTTCTGTATCACAGACATGTTTTTGTGAAAAGGGTGAATGTACAAATTAGTCACGCTTTGTGGTCACGACCACTTCCAATTCGAATTTCATCTACTTATGCAAATTTTTTATTCAATTGACCCCGAAACTTTTCAGGGGAAACTTGCCTTCAGAAAAAGTCGAAGAATTCATTTCAGCCAATTTTTAAGTCTCTGAATGTTATTGTCAGTTTTTATACTGATGAGCTGTCTAAGCGGGATATTTCCCCGTGGTTTTCTGGGAAACTTGATATGCGGGAAACTACGGAATACACGTGTGAGCAAGTGAGTGAAGGCAAACTAGGGGTACAATTGTTTGTAAATTTGTCGATTTTCAACTGTAAAATAATACCCGACTTAATGTAAAGGTTCCCTTTCTGTTGCTAGTATCAAGTTTACATTCAATTGATTTTACTTTTAAGCCATTTGCAACCAACATTTTTGCGAAGGGTCTACACTGAAATACCAAACTGTCTCAAATGTCTCTTATTTTTAATTTCTAACGACAAAAAAAATTGTCCGACCAGACTGGCTTTTTGTCAGGTCAAAACTTGTCTTTGGCCTGACAAATGACCTGCTTATAGACAAAAATTATTTGTAGGCTTGCAGTGTGCGAACAGAGAAACACCTTGTGTCAGTAAAGAACATCAATCATAACGAACAGAGAACAGAGAACAGAGAACAGAGAAACACCTTGTGTCAGTACAGAACATGAATAATAACATCACAATGTCTAAACCCAGTAATTCATAATGGAAAACATCAAATTCTACTACAGTTGAACATTCTAGAACTTTAATTATCAAAGTGTTTTCTCCTGTTACCAGCAATGATGCATTGTACAGTCAAACCACCGGTTGCCACCACCTCTCATAAGCGACCACCTCTCCTCAGCGACCAGTTTTCCAAAATACCAAAACTCTCTAAGTCAAATCACTATAATTATTTAGAACCTCTTGTAAACAGCCACCTCTTGTAAGTGACTGCATAAGCAACAACTTAATGACAGATAATAGAGTGGAAGTTGGATAAGGTGTCGCATTCCTGTACTACCCAAGAATGCAGGTCGCATTCCTGGGTAGTACAAGTGACAGAATTTCTCTCAATGGGGTCAGAGGTAGCGCGTTTTTTTCTCAAAATTGACTTTTTACATGAAATATAAAACATTTAAAAAATGGCATGTCTCTGCAGTTAACATATGCTAATGAAGCAAAATTTTGACCCAGTATGGTCTAACACTGGGTCTAAGCTTTCACAAGCAACCACCTCCCTAAGCAACCACCTACAGGAAGGCTTGACATTTAGGGGCGTCGCTTATCAGAGGTTCCACTGTATCCAGCTCCTGTTGAGCACAGTTTTGCACCACATGGCAAAAAATACCCTGTAAGAGTCTTGTATGTGTGTAGCAATCAATCACAGTCACCTCCACTCATTAGTTTCCTCACTGTAGCTTGAGTGTTTCCCTTCTTGCTAACAGTCGTCCGAGCTGTAGCTGGATCAACAAAATAACTACAATTACGAGACATAATAACTTAAGATCAAGAGCATCAGTAGCACAGTGGACTTCTACTTTGGTAGAAGAGCACAGAAACTGTCATCAGTTTTGCACCATAAAATCATGGCAAAAATACCCTCTAAGACTTTTGTATGTGTAAGCAATCAATAAGTCACCTCCGCTCTTCTGTTTGCTCACTGTAGCTTGAGTGATTCCCTTCTTGCTAACAGTTGTCCTAGCTGTAGCTGGAACAAAAGAACTACAATTATTACCAGGCATGATAACTAATGAAGAGCAATCAGTAGCACAGTGAAATTCTACTTTGGGTAGGTGAGCACAGAAACCATACAAAGCATTTTTGTTTCATCGGATCACTATGAAAATTACACCAGTTGTTGGAAATAGATTGAAGTTTTGTAAAAAATACGTATTTTTTTTTACAGCATTTGATGTTTCCATGGAAACAATAAACAACAGAAACGATTCTTTCCCTTGTCCTTCTTGCTAACAGCTGCAGTAAGTAAAGAACTAAAATTACCAGACATGATAACTTGTAATGGAAAGCACAAGGAAATTTATCGCAATTTTGATGACTGTTGGTAGTGTTAGACCTCTAGTCACTGTATTGAGTTTGAACAGTGCAAAAATTACAGCAGAGAGCACTGAACATATTGTACACATACAGCAATGTTCTCAATAAAAAACAAAATAAATTACAATAATGTCTATCGTAATTTATTAGAGACAAAGTTACATCAGCTTTAGCTGGTTTTCATGCAGGTCCTCTATGCTGGTCAAATTTGAAGGTGGTAGTTTTCAAAGAGAGTGGGAAACCAGAGTACCCGGAGAAAAACCCTCAGAGCAAGATAAGAACCAACAACTCAACCCACATATGGCACTGGTCCGGAATCAAACCCAGGCCACACTGGTATAAGGCGAGTGCTCCCACCACTGCACCATCCCTTCTCCCCTGAAAAAGACGTAATCAGTCATAGTCACCTTTCATTGTTTTAGCTTGAGTGGATATTTTTGTTTGTGTCTTTGTCCTTTTACCTCCAGATACATGTACTTTGGGAGGACCTGCATGTCGCATAAATCACACACTCATGAAGAATGCATACATTACTATCATCATCATTAGTATATAACACACTCTTGGCATTTCAAACAATCTGATTGGTTCGCTATGTCTAACTAATAAACAATTATTCCATGAATGCACTTTGGATATGAGATAATAAATAGCAGCTCCCACAAGCTGGGTGCATAGTGCCAAGTTTGCTATAACCATTCAGATCCAACAATCACTGCAGGTTTAGTAGGATATTGTTTTACTACAAATGCCCCCAAAATATAGAAAACTATTAATGCGTGATCCTTACTTGACACTACTACAGTGGCTTGATTCTTACATGTACTCATTTACCTCGCCGTGCACTTCGCAGCTTGGTAAATGTTGTGCCACTATTCACGTCAATTTCAAAGAATAATTGTTAATTATATGCAGCTCTTTAACAATTAGATTAGGAGTTCGAGATTTCTATGAGGTGACAGTGGATGAGGCTGATTTAAGGCCTAATCAACTATCACTGCATAGAATTCAAGAGCAAGTAATCTAATTGTTTTAGTAGAATTCTAACTGAACTAAATGTAACCTATGGTTTCCAATTAATTTTCCACATATTATTTAACCTTCACACTTTAAAATAAAGTTGCACAGACTGAATTGTCATTAGAAATTTGCAGTTGATTACACATGCACATTCGTTTTATCACTAAATTCAAGTTTTTAAAGTCAAAACACCGTTTATGACCTTCTTTTAGTCTTCTCAGGAATTTAATTATCCATTTGCATCTTTCCTCCAAAATTTCACTCCTTATGGTCTTCACTCTTTTAAGTATTTTGCTTCCAAAATTTGGAACTCTCTACCTGAGAACTTTAGAGTGGAACCTACTTTAACTGGTTTTAAACACCTCATAAAAACAGTCTCGTTTCAGGTATAATAGCTGATTACTACACTAATTATTCATTTTATATATATAAGGTAGCCAAAATTAATTATTGTTAGTAGTTAGTACTTTTTGTTTTTATATTTGCAATGTTTATTATCCTTGAAAATATTAGCTTTTTTTAATTAGCTGACCCTGTAAATTTGAATCAAAATAAAGTTATTATGTATTTGTGTATGTATGTAACTGCCCGTGACCAGTGTTGGCCTTTGTTCCACTTCTGTTGTCATCACTGGTACCTTTGACTAAA